AGGACAGAAGCCCTTTTCTTGTGATCAGTGTAGTCAAAAGTTTTCCAGAAAGGACTATTTAAAAAACCATATGATGATCCACACAGGACAGAAGCCTTTTTCTTGTGATCAGTGTGAACAAAGTTTTATTCATGAGAGAAATTTAAACAGACACATGAGATTTCACAGGGGAGAGAAACCATTTTCTTGTGATCTGTGTGAAAAAAGGTTTACTCAAAAAGTTCATTTAAAAAAGCACATGAGAATCCACACTGGGGAGAAAAAGTAATTTGAAAGAACTCATCGGCAAGAAGCCACTCACACTCACTAATATATTTAATTTTTTTTTTTATTTACATGCCTGAATCTGGTGATGAATAACATAATTTCACTGGTTTTAATGTGAAACTTTTATCTGTCTCTCAAACACTCGTATAAAATTTATTTCCACTCATCTGTTATGCTATTTCCTTGTAAAGCACACTGCCTTGCCCAAAAACAAGTCACCTTCTGGATTTAACTAAGCAAATAGGTATGAGCCTCCTATTGGATAATTACTGCATGGGTGATTATCTTTCAGCTGGCAACAAGTTATTTAACTCCAACTGGTGTAATGAGTTGCTTCTCATTTCTTAAACAACCATGTTGAAATACACATCGCGTGGTCGTGGAAAAGATGTCAGTCTGTTTGAGAAGGATCAAATCATTGGCATCAAGCAGAGAAAACATCTAAAGAGATTGCAGAAACTACTAAAATTGGGTTAAGAACTGTCCAATGCATTATAAAAAAACTGGAAGGATAGTGGGAACCCATCGTCTTCGAGGAAGAAATGTGGCCGGAAAAAAATCCTGAATGATCATGATTGGCGATCACTTAAACTTTTGGTGAAATTAAATAGAAGAAAAACAACAGTAGCACATGAGTGGATTTTCATTCCTGTCCAGTCCTGGTCCCACAGATAAAATCCTGTCCTCTCCCAATCCTGGTCCAGAGTAAAAAAAAAAATAATCCTGTCCTGTCCCACTCCTGGTAACATGACTCCTGCTCCTGTCCTGCTCCTGTTCAGAATCACTCCCACTCCTGTACTGCTCCTGTTTTCCATTTAATTGTTAGAAAATACATTGAATTTGATTTGATCTTCTACCCATTCCTGTTTAAATTACTTTGTGTTCTGCAGTTTTATTTCAAAAGATATTGCAACAGGAACAGTTCATCTGTGGTGAAATAGAGACATTTATTTCCTTAATCCAAACAAAAACCTTCACTAAATGTCATAAAACAAATAATACATGGCCTGTAGTCCAAATATTTTTTCTACAGAGCTGCTGAGTCCCTGTTTCTAGATCTTTGAAGGTCAGTTACAGTAAAAACAAAAAATCAAAACCAATACAAGGGTCACACACCATGTCTACCTTCGATGAAAGAAACCAAACATAACAAGTTGCATTTTACTAATTTATTGAACAATTGTTTCCATTAAACAGTGATGTTACTGTCATGTTTTAAATTGTTTAAACAAACAAACAAAACAAACAAAAAAGAAAAATAATGTACCAAGCAGAGAACGCAACAAATAAAAATGTTTAAAGGCATTATTATACCTTGGACGACGTCCTCAAGGAGTTCAGTCTATGTGGTTGAGGTAACGAGCTCGTTTGGGTGAAGCATGATGTCGTGCATCTTACCAGACTTCAGAGCATCATTTACAGACTGGATCATTGCAGGTCTGGTGTTCCACCTCATCTCTCCACAGCTTGACCAGTCCAGAGCCTTGTGTAACCTAAAAGTGAAAGACGACAGTGCACGAGTCAAAATATTCTTACAGTGACTACAAATTACAATTTGTTGGCCTGCCTTTTGGAAAAAAATATTTGATCAAAAATACGAGATTTACAATTAAAATTAAGTCAAGAAAATGTGACATTTGCAAATATAAATTACAGAAACTCAATTTTTCTTTATTTATTTCACTTATCATATTTTATAATTATTTAGGCAGCCTCACCAGGCAGAGATTACAAGATTTTATGTATCTTACCTGCTCTTTTAAAGTGTGTGACAAGGGTCTTTGTGTCCAAAGCTGTGTAACAGCTTGCTTCCAGAGCTTACAGCTTCCTATGTTAGGTAGAAAAATTTAATTAAAGACCAACAAAAAGCTTAGTGCTACTTCTTGTGCCATGCTTTCTAAAACAGTTATTGAATCAAGTATTTACTTATGTAGGTAAACGTAGATGTTTTAAAACCTGTTAAAATACACCAGAACGCAGGAAATAGCAACTACTTTATTCAAAAAGTTATGGGGGAGGACCCACAGACCTCCCACCAATATGCTCCCCTACAATAATTCTAATGCTAATACACACTGCGCTGTTCAAGCCAAGAGCCATTGTCAACACTGGGGGGCTAAGGCCCCTAAAAAGGGCTTCTAGAACGCCCCTGGTGTGAAGAAATGAACTGAGAAAAATCAACTCTTGGCCTAAAATTTAACACAGCAACATAATTGTACACATCATATCTTAAATCTAAAACCAAAACAGTTATTATAATATACATGGAACCAGTCTTTCATATAAAAACGGGGATATTTTTACCGGAGAATACTTTCACTAACGGGTTTGTTGTTGTATTGGCATGGTTACAGCCGACAGTAACTACACAATAAAGTGATGGTTATTCACGTTTTCCTCAATTTCAGTATCCAGCAGGACATCACAATATAAAAATAGGGATATTTTTATAGGAGAATGCTTGCATTTTTAACCAGGAAGAGTTAAGGGTTTTTTTTTACATTACAAACAGCGACTGATAATGAATATTTTTACCTAAAAACCCACATAACAAAGCAGAACATATTTTTTAAATTAATTTGGACAAGGTGGAGAAAAATGCGCTGTTTGAGTTTATTTACTGACGGTAAACAAAGCAGCTCCTCACTGCAGCTGAGACTGCCCCTTTTACATTAGTACCTGTAGTACCGGTACAGCACGGCTCTACTCTACTCGGTACGGTACAGGTTGTGTTTCCATTATGCTTTCAGTACCGGTTCCAGTGGGCGGGGTTCAAATTGACGTCACCACCTCTCACCAGCTGGTGGCGCTGAGACGCAGAAACTGTTTTCAGTACAGGTTGAGAATTTATGTTATTTTGAAGTTGTGTGTATGTATGTATGCATGTATGTGTGTATGTACATGTGTATAAATGTGTATATATATATATATATATATATATATATACACACACACAAATATATATACACACACACATATATGTATATACACACAAATATGTACACATATATGTATATATATATTCATATATATGTATTTATATCTATATATATATTTATAGATATAAATGTATATGTATTTACATATATATATTTATAGATATAAATATATATATATGTATATAAATTAAATCTGATGAACCAGATTCTACAAAAACATTAGATTTAAATTTTTTATAGGTTTTCATCATCATTTGATGTATTTGCACTCATTGTGTCTACTTTTAATGTTCATTTTAGATGTGTGGTTTTCTTTCTTGTTCACATATATACATTTTATTTTTAGCTTTGCTTTAAAGTTCTTGTTTTGTGATTTGTACATTTGTGGGTTAAAATAAAGTTGAACCGAAGGTCGTCTCTTTTCTTTAAACATGTTTGAGGGAAATATTCCTGAGATCCAATAGTTTTGTCTTTTTATGATTTTCAGCTGAGTTAACAGTCAAAGTGAAAACAGGATTTCATGATGAAGCTGGCACCGTTTATTTTATTATTTTTTTAATCTTCAACGCTAAAAAAATATATATATATATATTATATAAAAAAAATATATATATATTTT